TCACACTCGCACCCACACCCACACCCTTGGTGTAACTTTCATTGTTCTCTCTCTCTCTCTTTGTATGTATATATCTTTTCCTCTGTTCTCTTTTCTTCCCTCGTATAACCGAGTGATCTAATGTATCACTATAAATGGAGGATAAAAAGAAGAACGAGGACAGACGAATAGGATGGTATGGTGAAGATAACATCGATGATATACTGAATGAATATATCGATAGTACTGTTCTTCTAGTTTGTTCATTGTGATCACAATTAGATTAAATGTAATAAATGAAATGCTGCAGCCGTAACATCTTATAATAGTATCAGCTTTTTTTTTGTTACAGTTTCATTTTCAATTCGAACCTTTTGTATTTTATTAATGATCTATAACATCGTAATATTTATACGAAATAAGCCTCTTCTTCATCTCTTCCTTGCAATGGAAGTATCGATCAAAGATATTGAGAGCAGTTACAACGGCTTTTATGGATTATCTGTGAATGCTTCATTTTAGACTTCATTACCAACATTATTTGATCCGATAGCTATTATAGAACGAATTAGGAAAGAAAATGTTGAAGTAAATGAAGTTGTGATCATGCTTTACAATAAAAGGTATTAGCACATTAGTAAATTTCCAAAAGAAACTGTTATTTATTTGATTGTTTTCATAGTACCGATTATTTTTGCAATTGTTGGCATCAATATATTACTCATTCTTCTAAATACGTAATAAGTAATATTGAACGAAGTATGTTTTCTCTATAAAAGTAGTTTTAACTTTAACAAAAAGTCGTGAAAACTGGTAGGGTGTGAGTGTGGATATGCTATCATCTTATATCCACTTCCTACCATAAGAAAACCTGATTACTCTCACTCTCAAGATTTTTAATGAAGACTCTAACGTGAATGTTAACATTTATTAGAATAAGAGAAATAAGCTTTGACAAAAGAAGATAAAGAATGATAAATGTTAGAAAACAGATAAAGAATAAAATAAAATGATTAATTAGTTAATGTGTTAATAGTTGATGTGACATGAGCTGATCGATATCGTAATAGTTTGATAATTATAATTGCAAATAATTGACAAATGATCATTAAACCACCATAAAGAGAAATCAATGTTGTTATTCCTTCAATAACATTAAATTTATCGATATAAGTAAAAATACATGATGATGGTGAACATTGACTAAAATAATTTGAATAAGATAAATTAGTTGTAAAATTTTCAATCATTAATTCATTTAAAACTGATTCGATGGTCGAATTAATTGAAAAACGACTTGGATTAATAGATATATTTAATGGTCGAGATGTATGAGTTTTATCAATACAATCTTGATCATAAAGACATTCGAATGTTGATTGTAAAAAACCTTCAAGTATGTAACAAGAAATAATAACTCCATAATATTTTGTAAAACATTGTGAAGATAATCCGCAATCACATTGATCATATTTAACTGGTATTGTATGAAATGTACCTCCAGAAATTGGATTATAGATATCAGCTAATGACCAAGCTGAACCAAATGTAGTTAAAAATTTATTTGCTTTTGTTGTTTGACGAATTAATGAAAATGTATTAATAAATAATTTTGACATTGTAGTTTTTATTTCATCGATAATCATTTCAATTCTTTGAGATAAAATATTTCGTGATAATAATTGACTATTAATCATATGATTATTTAAAAATCGTGTCATTGATTGATCAACTGTTGATTTCGATAATTGACAAAGTGTAGAAAGTGCTTGTATTTGTCCAATACCAGAATAAATATAAGTTTTAGAAACATTTTGATAAAACGGATTATTTTGATGGGTAATATAAGTCATCCATAATTCACCAATAAAATCTCTTGAACATGCTGGATGATAACTAGTATTAATATTAATAAATGATCCATATGTTATTGAGATTTGTGAACAAGAACATTGAAGATTATACGAATATTGTTTGACTAGATTTTCATATATAGATAATGATGGATTCTTAATTTCTACTGAAGTTAATTGAGAACTAAAAGCAACAGTTATATAAAGAATACTCAATGTCAGTGAAACTAATAGGAAACGTAATCGACGAATCATTTGTTGTTCATTAGTACCAATGAGAAAATCTTTTATAGAACGAATTGAAATTTTAAAAGTAAAATTATTAATGAATTTTTCAGTTAATCGAAGTACAAATAAGATTGAAACTTTAAAACCTATTAAAAGTCCACCAAAAATACCAATTATAAAAATAATTACTTTAAATAGATCATTAGAATTTATATATTCAATAATACATAAATTTGGAGCACATTGATTATAATAAGATGAATAATAGAAATTCCATAACCATTGATCAACCATCATGTGATCAAAAATTGATCGAATTGTTTGATTTGGTGAATTTTTTTTTGAATCAAGTGCTGGAAATGTTAACGATTGAATTAAAGATGAATTTAAAAATTGATTGATATTAGACATACATATTTCATTATAAAAACATTCTAATGTTGATAAAAATAATGCATCAATTAAATAACATCCAAGATAAAAATGTTCAATTGTTAAAGTAGAATTAATACCAAACATTCTCATAGGAGTTGAACATAAATTTGCAAAAAATGCACAATTACAATCTTTATATGTTCGAGGTTCTACTATTGTTTTTACATCATTAGGATATTGAAAAAATATATTAAGACGATTCATTAATTGATTTGTTTGTGTTATATTACGAATTAAATCAATTGTACTAATAAATTGATTTATTGTAGACGATTTCCAATCTTCAACAGCTGAATCCAATTGAATTTTAAATTGATTTTCACGAATAACTTGTGAACTAAACAACTGTGTTTTAAGAAAAATACTAAGTGAATTATTAATTATTTGTTGAGCATGTTCACAAAACATTGATAATGTTTGAAATTGATTACCAGCATGATATCGATAATCATAAATATCACTTAATAAACTCGATATCCAATTACTATATGCAATCCATTGAGAAGATATCAAATAACTCGTACATAATTGATGATAATGTACTTCAATACTAATCAATGTTGAATAAGATATTGATATTGATGTACATGGACAATAAAGATCAATGGAATTTATTTGAGAAAGTTCCAAATATTTTGATAATGATGGATTTAGAATAGTTTTAAATTGAATTGTTTTACGAACTAAATGATGTACAAATAATGATCCAACTGAAATCATAATTAAAAGAAGATAAATTCGAGTTGCATATCGTTGATATCGTATTTGTCGATCATTGCTTGGATAATGTTTGAAAAGATTCAATTCAATCAAGGTTTTTTTAATATTTGATTTAATTTGATTCAAACGAGTATCAACTATTAAAAAAAAATTCTCTTTGCAATATTTTCATTTTTTGTGTACTCAAAAACTGAGTACACTATTAAAATCGGTCTGTGTGTCCATCCGGCCGGCCGTTTACACGATAACTTTCGAAAGGAGAGTCGGATTGCAATGAAATTTTCTACACAGTTCAGTGTTTACAATGTCCCGGTTGAGTTCGGAGCAGAGATGTCCATCGCGGCTGAAAGTCTGCCGCTGCCGCGCCGCGACGGTTTATAAAAAAATGTTGCCGCGACGCTGCCGCACCGCGATGACTTATAAAAGAAACGCTGCCGCGATGAATTATAAAATAAACGTGCCGCCACCGCGCCGCTGCCGCGACGATTTTCAAAAAAGTGTTTCTAATTTCACTGCTGTGACTATATTTGACCAGAGATATGGGTACTAGTCCATCAGGTTTATTCAATATCAGGACATTTCATTTGTAAATCGTGAAATTCTATTAAATTCATACAGTTTTTCAATGTCCTCCAAAAAAATCCTGCCGCTGCCGCGCCGCTGCCGCGATGGTTTTTTAAAAAACCTGCCGCTACCGCGCCGCTGCCGCGGTGATTTTTTTAAAAACCTGCCGCTGCCGCGCCGCCGCCGCCACCGCGGCAGCGGCAGCGGCAGCGCCGCGATGGACATCTCTGGTTCGGAGATGAGAAGGATCCGTCTAGAAATGGCTGAGTTATCGAAGAAATTGTGATTTTTGACTAGACCATCCCTGAGGGGGGGTACGGGGATTTTTCGAAAAATAATTTTTTGCTCATAATTATTCACAAAATACATTAATCGACTCAGTCTTTAACGCTGATTCTGTATCTGATATTAGTTTTGTACTGAATCGTAGTTTTGTGTACTCAAAAAGTGAGTACACTATAGAATAGTTAGTGTGTCTGTCCGTCCGGTTGGCTGTTTACATGATAATTTTTGATAGCAGAGTCAGATTGCGATGAAACTTTCTACACAGCTTAGTCTTGACAATATCTCAATCAAATTCGAAGATGAGAACGATCGACCGAGCCGTTTCTGAGTTATTGCAAAAATAGTCACTTGTCTCTATGGCTTTCTGTGGAAAAATAGACCCATCGCGGCTTTCGTAAAAGACTTTTCCTATCATAGTCAATTAAAACCCAAACTATTATATACCATTCGATAGAGAATTTCAAGAGCTACAAAATGATATATAAAACACAAAGAAACAAGAAGGTTGACTTACGTATGACAAGGATAATTAAAGAGAACTAGGTTATATTTTGGTCCACGATCTAATTGATCCACAAAGAGAGCTTAATCTTCCGATCACAGTGATGATGCTTCGAGGTTTTCAGAGATGGAGAACTCGAATGTGTACTGCGCTTCCATCGAAATACTATTAGTTGTGCAGTGACCAATAAAAATGAAATTATAGGAAAAATGACTGTTTTAGGGTAAATGAAGTGGAAGAGTTCAAACTTGAGCTGTATTCGGTCCCAAGTCCTATTGGTTTGGTAGTACTTAATAGAAATCAACATTTTAAATGGTAGGCTCTCCAATGTAATGTGGATGTTCTAACATTCTGGGCTGACTGATTCGTATGATTCACTTTGTGAAGTACACATTACTCTCAGATTTAAATCCAAAGTTTCCGCATTTATTATTATAGGTTTTGAATCATTCTTTAAATAGTAAAATGGCAGTCATTGGATACACTACGAAGATTAAACGATATCCCGTAAGTTTTCATCTACAAGTATTCCTGGGATGAATAGTAAGAGTTTCTCAAATATCTTCGTAGCTCACTACCATGCATGTAAATATTAATCTTTTCGTTGTATTCAATTCTTTTGAATTGTTATTCTATCATTAATATATATTCTATTCCATCAATTAATATTAATTGAAAAGAAATCTTCTCCATAAATAATCTTACTTTAAATCGATTACAATATGAAAAAATTCCGAGAAGATACTTTCTCAATGATATTGTATTGAACTTACTTGGAATCGATGGAGATTGTTCACGATTTATTTTTTTTATTATAAATCGAACAATAATGGGAATAATTAATCGAAGAACTAATGCTAAAACACTTAAAATACTAATAAGTTTAGTGATAACAAATAATAAATTATGTCTTTCTTCTTTCGAATATGTACATGATATAGGTGCACATTGATTATAATATTTATCATAAGATATATTTGTTATCCATTGTTCTATCATTAAATTCTCTAACATTTTCTTTACTTTTGTATATTGATTATAAGAACTATTAATATGAATGGTTAATGCTGAAAATTTTTCATTTGTTGGAAAATAAGAAAGCATATCATCTAAACATGTTTGATTATAAAAACATTCAAGTGTTGAATCAAGTATTGAAATGATAGGTAAACAACCTGATGCTATTCCAGGCAATATTTTTATATGATTAGATATATATCGTGTTTGTGCTTGAAATATATCATCAAAGATGGCACTCGATGTACAATAAAGATCATTTTGACAATCACAAAATGTACCATCATCACGGTGATATATAATAGATCGTATTTCAGGATATTTTAAATAACCTGGTATATAATAATAGGATATAATATAATTTGTTAGTAATCCAGATACAATTTTATTCCCCATTGTCATTCGAATTATTAAATCTAATTGATTTGTAAAAGTTTGAGGAACAATTTGTTGAGTTTGATAAATAATTGATTGAATTTCTATTTGAAAATTATATTCAGATAAAACTGATAAACTAATAAATGTACTTTGATTAAATGTATCAATAGATTGTTGTACATAAGATTTTGATAAATGACAATATGTAGCTAATGCTTGAAATTGAGCACTAGAAAAACTTCGAAAATCTCTTATATTAAAATAAGTTGCATTTGAACCAGTATAGATTGCATTGATCCATCGATCACTAATAAAATCACTTGAACATATTTGATGATATGTTGGTTCTAATGATGTAAATTCACCATATGATATTGATATCCGAGAACAAGGACACTTTGTACCAACTGGAAGGTTTTTTAATTGTTCTTTTGTTAAATATTTTAATGTAACTGTTGTTATATATGAATTTACCCATATAAATATACCAATTGAAATTAAACTTATTAGAAGAACAATAAGATAAACTCGAGTAGCAATAATATTATTACTACGTTGTTGTTCATCTTCTCTGGCATTAGTATCAAGATCGGAAGAAAAAAAATTCAAATTGCGCAGATAATTCTTCAACGAAGACATTCTATCAAATAACCATTGTTGTATTTTGTCTTCAAATAAATGAAAACTAGAAAATTTTTTTTTTATTTATGCAAGTAAAACATAATTTTGTCAATCTAAAAATGTTAATTTAAAAAATGGATTCCATTCTAAAAAGAACATTATGAAATTGAAAAGATTTTAATTAAAGTGTAGGGAGAAAAGCACAGTAAAAAATTATGTTTGCGAATGAAGATAAATGAATATATCGTGTTTCTAATATCGTTAATAGGCACATTTATTTTTCAAAGAATTGTTGTAAAAAAAAATTTTTAAGTTAACATGTATTGGATTTAATCAATGTAATGATTTATCACTAACAATCCACGTAGCTCGCTGTTAATATGGAATTGCATTGTTTCCACGTAAGATTTCAAAGTATATGAATATATAATATATTTGATATTATTTAAATGTATCAATCGAATCCATTAATTTTTACCTTATTAAAAAGAAAAACGATTTCATTTCTAACAGCAACACACAAATTGCAATTTTTTTTTCTTTTTCTTCTAATTAACAACAATTTTACAATAGATTCTCTCATATTTTTGTATGAAGATGGCAGCTTTATTGTTATTCGTCCATTTATTTATTGAAGTTCTACTTACAAAATGTAGAACTGATTAAAAAAGTCATAACAAATAATTTTATCTTTTCTAAACTGTTGAAGGAAAATAATTCAAAGATGAAAGATTATTCAGAAAAAAACACGGTGTGGATACGATTGTCACTAAAAAGAGTGCTCGTATCTCCTCGTACAGATCGGTCCGGCATCCATATCTTTCGTATATACTTAATAAACACAGTTGTAATATATTATGAAATATTCTTTTTATTTTAACTGAATAATTATAAACCCATGGAGTAAAATATTGAAGGAAACGGACTGCGTAACGCGTTTCCGAGATTGTAGCATGCATTTCGCAACGTTTTTTTAGTACAGAACGCGTTTCGCGACATTCTTATTTAGATAAAATGCGTTTTGCTACCGTCGTGTTTTTGAAACGATCCAAAACGCTTTTTTCGAGGTTGCGTTTCGAAGCGTTTCAGAAGTAAAATGTTGCCGAACGCACTTCGGTCGTCAGATGACGCGTTCCACAGATACAAATTGGGGGGATGTGAAACGCGTTTCTTTTTCAAACGCATTTTGCATTGTTTTTGCTTGAAATGATGCAAAATGTATCCATTCTTCATATAGAATCTTGCAGGAATTCACCCATATAAAGCATATGAATTAAGCAAAAAATTCTTCGACATTATTTTGGAAATGATATGCAATAGCACTTGAAAGTTTTGCTCCTTGCACTGTTTTAGTACATGAAAATCATGGCCCAAATTTTTTGAAGGCAAGATTACAACTGAATTCTTCTAAAAGTTTAGGTTGCTAGACTGTTATCTAAATCTGATCCGAAGACTAATATTGAACGTCAAAGTATAACAAAAAGATATTTTTCTTCTTTGAAAACTCATTTCTTTACTTTTTTATTGAAAGAAAACGCATTTCGTAACATTCCACCAAGAATTGTTTTTAAACATTGAACAATTCGAAAAGATTTATTAAAGACTGACGCTAATATAATGAATACGACGACTTTGTTTGGTTATTTCTGAACAAAAGAATTTTCGCGTTATGTATAATTTGAATATTTATTAGTATGAGTTCATATTTGAACTACTCGAGAGTGACCGATGATACTGTGTTTAAGACCACTAAATATGATCCTAGTTCGTACATTATTGATGTAAGCGTGACTTTTTAATAAAAGAGATTCAACTTACAGAAGAAAATTCCTTTTCATTTAGTGATGTGACTATGTAAAAGAATAACGAATTTAAATTTACAAAAATCCATTAAATCAAGAAAATAATTAAAAAGATTAATTTTTAAATTTTCTAAAGTTTATATCTAAGAAATTCAACTTGTTTAAATATTAAATACAATTTAAATCAATTGAATTCGTTTCAATTGGATATTTAAGTTTAAATTTGAAAGAGTTTAAATAAAAAATATATCAAGAGGAGATCACATTTGTAATTGGACATAGGAGCCAAGGAAATGTTGATTTTTAATTCATTGAAATGGGAAACTAGAAATCTAATTTAGTAAGATTACGCGAGACTCTGGATGACAGTAGAATAAACACTGATATCATTATAGATTATTTTAGTTGAATGGCTTGTACACATGTCTTCTACTCTTATGTTCTCGTGTTCGAATCCATGGCTTGACTTTATTAAAATTCATGTAAGTTATAGTTCTAAAGGTCTGTGAAAAAAAAATAAACGAGTACATGAATTGTATCTGCAACCCAAGTTCAATGAAGCGCTTGACGGTTATCATTTTTTTTTTGTCATCCAGAATATACGACACTACAGTTTGAGAAACGCTACGAAACTTTTTAGAAAAACGATCGTTCCGCAGCGTTTGTTTTAGCAGATGTGAAACGCGTTAAACCGGTCACCATTAACGCGTTTCGCAACTATGGAAAAATGCGTTTGAGAACGCGTTTTTTTCGCAGAAATTTACGCCATGGGAGTAGTAACAAAAACACGACAATCAATCCTCGTTTATTTCATAAATATGACCAGGTGGCTACACCATCCTATTTTAGTACACCCATAGTCGTTCTCTAAGCGACAATCTATTTCCATTACTATGAGCAAATATGCAGCAGGAACCTTA